ATCTCAAAAAGGTTTGTTATGATTAATTTGGTAGTTATTTTCAGTGCAACTCCTTTTGTATTCTTCAAAATCATTTCGGAGTGGATCCACTCCGATTTGCTACATTGCAAGTATATGGGACGTATTCTAACTGTGGTGAGGGCTTGTGGTGAGGGCTTGTCCCGAGACACAGTTAGATTATTCTAACTAATGTACCAAGTGAGTATTGCACAAAAATTATACTGGATATTGAGGATGCGCTAACAAATCTGGAATGAAAAACAGACGATAGCGTTATTTCCGGGATACTATGATGCACCACAGGGGCTTGCTCCCGGCGTGTAATAATTATTTATTAAAAAAATCATATACGGTAATACTAAAGTTTTAGTATTACCGTATATGATTTTTTTAATAAATAATTATTACACGCCGGGAGCAAGCCCCTGTGTAGTTTTAGTATTACCGTATATGATTTTTAAATAAATAATTATTACACGCCGGGAGCAAGCCCCTGTGTAGTTTTAGTATTACCGTATATGATTTTTTTAATAAATAATTATTACACGCCGGGAGCAAGCCCCTGTGGATGCACAATGGTCGATATGACTTATGGCCTACAATTTCATGTTTCTTTAAATTTTTACATATACAAAATGCATTCCGGAGAAAATATAATTGTATAATATAAATTCTTGAAAACTGTTATGGATTCCTTAACTTCATAAAAATCCTTACAAATAAAGACACATAGCAGGTTCCAGTAAATGTTCTACAGTGTACCAAGCCTCACTAAAATATTAACAGCAGTAATGGAGAAACTTCAGGAGTACTTGTTCAACGATATATTTGAGATGTGGTGTAAATCAGTTGTGGATACTTAAAAAACCCAAGGAACTTTTGGATTTGAAATCACAAAATTTTACCAAAATCAATAACATTAAAACCTACGACTTTTCAACACTTTATACAACCATAGACCCTTTTCCTATGACACATTTTGCTTAGGAGTTATTCCCCTTAGCCGCCATCTTGTATGGCAAAGCAGTGAATTTACCTCTTTGAGCAACCAATTTTAAACATGCATTCAAGAAAAATATGGGGGAAAATATTTACAATCTTATTGTCATGATTTAATAGAGGATATAACAAATGTGTATTCATAAGAAAAATAGTGTTATCTTTACCTCAGTAACCAGTATAAGAAATTGAACTTGGTTGAATAATGAAGGGATCTGGGAATGTTGCCCTACAATATGGCGGCTAAGAGAAATAACTCCTAGGCAAAATATGTCATAGGAAAAGGGTCTATTCCCTACGATAATTTTAAATTAAGTCCAAACTTTTTGACATCATAGACAGCTGCCTTTTAAATAAAAATGGAACTCGTAAATTTACTCATCGTGTTATTGGTCATTTGCAAAATTATTTTGTTAAAAAAAATTCTGATTGTACTCACAAGTACTCTGAAGTAGATATTAAAAAGATAATAAGTTTCTGATTGACAAAATCTATGTGGTTTTTGGAGACCAGGTCTTCCAACAATCTTTCGGAATTCCCATGGGTACCAACTGCGCCAAGTTAACAGCAGACCTATTTTTGTATTCATATGAAGCAGAATTTATTCAAAAACTTACGCCTGAGAAGAAGAAGACACTTGCTTCAACTTCAACTCGACTTTTACTAGAAAAAGACGTTAAGTAAAACCTAACAAAAATTTTTATGATAAACGTGATGACTTCAACTTTTCTATCGTCAATTCCCCTTACTTATGTAGCAATATACATTTATCACATGCATATGGGGTTTATATCTCCCAGTTGATTCGATACGCAAGAGCATGCTCCACTGTAGGAACAATTTCTAAAACGAGGTAAATTATTGACAAACAAGTTGATGAATCAACGATACCTAAAGTCATCAATTCGCAAGTTCTATGGTCGATACAATGGACTTGTCAGCAAATACAATCTATAATTAAGTCGAATGCTGACTGACGTTTTTCATACTAATTGTTAGGTCATTATTTAAACACTGAATTGTCTACGGATTTTTCCTTTGCCCGATCATGACAACGAGCACACGGCGGGTGTGACCTGTCGACAGGGGATGCTTACTCCTCTATGGCACCTGATCTCACATCTGATGTTTCTTAGAGGTCCGTGGTTTCTCTGCTCCCGATTTGTATTGTTTCAGTGGAGTTTTGAGCTTATCTCCATATTTCAGTGAAAGTGCATGTACAAATAACATTCCGGAGAAAATATATTTGAATAATAAAAATTCTTGATATCTTGATCACTGTTTCACTCATAAAGGTTCGAAAACATAATTTATGATTGTCCTACGCGCGGATCCAGGATTTTTTTTTCGGGGGTGTTTCCACACCAACTCTAACAGATGTCGGACTCAGAAAATAGTAATCAGTTTCCTCAGACCTGAAAAACCTATCTATGGGCTGGGGGGGGGGGGGGGGGGGTAGGAGAAGACACTTTCTTTAATCTATTTTCTTCATTGAGATACATGACTTTTCTTACCATTTTAAATGGGATCTGTCCCCCCCCCCCCTCTAGATCCGCACATGTGTACTTTTAAGTTTAATTTACGAAGGAAAATTATTGTCATTTCTGCTACCATTTGTCAGATGTGTATGACGTCTTGTCATATGTTTATGAAGAATTGGCAGGTAATTAAGTTGACGTGTCAGATCTTTTTGTTGATTTGTCACTTATTCACGTGTTTAGAAATCAACATGAATCAACATGTCCCTTCCCATTTTCATAAAACTGGTGCCAACCAGTTGACAACATATTTTTCTGACAAGTCGACAAAAGGATCTGACAAGTCGACATGAAGATTTGACCAGTTAACATAATCATCTGACAAGTCGACATAACTTCAAATAAGTCGGCATAAATATCTGATAAATCGACATTATTATCTGACAAGTCAATATAATTTTCTGACACGTCGACATAACATCTCACAAGTTGACATCATTATGTGACAAGTTGATATATTATACTTTCATGTAAATTAGTTGAATCCGATTCGTCGAGAAACATTTGTTAAAAACACAATTACCCTCTGAATGATGAAACCACGCCCTCCAGCGTAGCAACAGTCAACATTGCTTGACGACGGGTGATATTCCAAAAAATATTGACTGCACAGAATTTATGCGCGCAGGGTTCAGTGTTATATTTATTTGTATAAAACATTCAGTATAATATAATAAATACTGCATGTAGTTAAGGGTAACATTGAAAATTTTCAGCCCTCGAAAACCATTGTCAACCTCGGCTGCGAATCGGTTGACGATGGTTTTCTCGAGGTGAAAAGTTTCAATGTTACCCTTAACTACAAGCAGTTTTTATATAATATTTATTGGAAGCAATAATTTTGAATGTTCATTTAGCTATCAAATACAGAAAATGATGACATTGTTTAACTCAGAATGACTGAAAACGAAAGTAGAGATGCAATAAAAAAAATTAAATGAATGAAATATGTGGAGATAACAAACAGTATTCTAGCTCAAAAGTCCATTAAACATTACAAAATAGGAGCAGAGTAAACACGGACCTTTAAGACATCAGAGGTGGGATCAGGTGCCGTGGAGGAGTGAGCATCCCCTGCCGACCGGTCACACCCGCCGTGTGCTCCTCGTCATGATCGGGAAATAACGAAATTCCGTCGACAAATCAGTGTAAATTATGGCCTAACAATTAGTATGAAAAAGTCAGTCGGCATATGACTTAATGAAAGATTTCTATTTGCTGACAAGGTCATTGTATCGACCATAGAACTTATGAATGCTGATTCCCTTTTTCACTTTAATGGACGATGACAAAAGTTTTCATCCAGTTCTAGAATACTATATCTCCCTTTTTCTTGTCGGGATATTGATGAAATATTTGGTAGCCAATGTACATAGCCTATGTACACAATTTAGTCTATGTACTGTAAAATTGATCCATTAGAACTCAACAAGTATCAGTAAAAAAATGTATAAGTGATAATAATTACGTTTTGACCCATTCCCTCACATCGTTATTTCATTTACCAACATAAGCATAATCTTATTCCAAAAGATGATTGGGCTACTGCGTTAAACGTAAGAGGAGTTCTGGCAGCCTGGATGAAAACGAAAATTTCGAAATCTTTCGGAATACCAATCATAATCCAAAAAAATATGATTTGGCTACTGCGTAAAATTGAAGAGGAGTTTGAGAAAGAGGATAAAGTGATGAACGGAAAGAAGGACCGGGATAACAACAATATATAATACCCTACTTAAGGAAATGCAGGTGTAAAATATGAATTTACTAATATTTTTCTGTCAATGGAAAATTGAAGAACATGTAGCTGAAGTAAGTTATGGTACAGTGTTCTTCATTGTACTTTCCACATCTTACTTAGTCATATTATTTAATGAAAAAAATCATATACTGTTTTAATTTAATAGTCAATCAAATGAAATAAATATCAGATACAGCTTTTTTGTTAAGGGTCACTGACTGACTGTGCACAGAATTTATCATGCTAAATTTATTTTGAAACGTAAGCAAATAAATATCTCATTATTTCTAATGAAGCTATTTCTAATAAAACTATTTGTGTGACATACCTATCTTGCAGAAAAGTCCATTAAGTAAACAGTTAAGGAATTTTAAAAAGTTCGAATACTTATACAGTTTACGTGTTATGGTCGTTGTCCCTTCATCATTTGTAACTTCATGGATATACTCATAAATTGCAGGAACTCAGTGTGAAGGTAATAAAACCAAACTTCAAAGGTACCACATCCTCTAAACTAAATTATAAAAATGGCCTATATTTGAATTACTATATAGTGTTATTTATATATTAAAAATAGGAAACAGACCTAGACACTATATATGATATATAGTTATGGCGTCATTGTATCCTGTTCTGATATGGTAAATGTGACCTTTTACATGTAATGTCCGGGCAAGTGTTTCCGACCAGTAATTTTATGCAGTGTAAGTGATGCATGTAAGCATTGTGTTTCTCAAATAAGGTTAGTAGCTACATGTGATTTTGTAAGATATATGCTCCGCAGAGGTAATTTTTTCGCTATAGATTGCTTTTACTTTAAAGCAGGTATATTAATGATGCAAAAGGAATAAGGGTTGGTGTATGTGTGTGAAACACGTTACTGCTAATGACATTTTGAACAGACTAATTGAATATTCAGGCTTCAAGTGAATAAGAAATCTACTTTAAAATATCTTTCGTAGGCAAGGAAGGAGATTCATAAGACTTTAATAAATAATAATAATAATAAAAATATAGTTGTTTCTAATTAAAAATTCAATTTATGGAGTGCTCAAACACGTTTCTAAGAATTAACTTTCTTTAAATAAAAACTCGTTTGAACAAAAATCAATTGTTTAACTCCATTTTCTTCCAGATGAAAAATGACAGAGACAGATGAAACATCATATATTCTTAGTTCTGTCACATACGATAGAAAATATAGCTGTATAGGTGGAGAGGAGAAGAAATGCCAACAGTCACAAAATGCTCAACAAAGTGGGCCCAGTGGCGACGAGACAAATCCTACAATGTCTTATCGAGAGGCACCAAGACATAGAAAATTATTACTGGTCTCTCTGGCACTCGTAGATTTCTTTGGATATGCCTCATTTTCGATGTTGGCACCATTTTTTCCGGCTGAGGTAATTTTAGTTATCTGTTTTGCACTTTAAAAATAGCACAAATTTTGGTTTAATAATGTTTCAACTTCAATGATGGGAAAAAAGTAATTGCATGAATTTTTTAATTCTCGAGAATTACATGAAAAGACACTCAAAATATATAATTCATGCATTTCAAATTTTTATAGGCCGAAAAGAAAGGGGCGTCACAGATTGTTGTGGGAGTAATATTTGGGATTTTTGAATTAACCATTTTCTTAGTGTCACCAATAATAGGAAGTTTTGTGAGTATACAGAAGATATATAAGGTACCCAGTATATAAAATAATTTTCAGAGAAAATAGTTTCTCTTAGTTGTCACATTTTAAAGAAAGTTTCACATGCCAAAAATTAATTCATAACTAGTAAATGAACATTTTTTCCAGATTACCAAAATTGGAGCTAAACGTACGTATCTGTCAGGATGCATGTTAGCCGGTGCTTGTTCGATCGCTTTTGGGTTAGTTAATTATTTATATAAAAAAATACAGTGTTTATAAGATTTCAACAATTGAAATTCATTTGATAGGTTACTTTTCAGAAATTCGCATTCTAGTATAGACCATTTTTATACGCAATAAAATTTCAATGTTAATCAACTTTTTTTTCCAGACTCTTAGACAAATGCCAAGGGGGACTTTGTTCATTGTACTAGCGTTCATTTTTCGAGTATTAGAGGGTATTGGATGTTCTATGTTCATTACAGCAGGATTCGCTATCATAGCTAACGTGTTTCCAGACAAAGCTATTACAGTTTTTGTAAGTATTTAAAATTTAGAAAATGTAATTTTATGGGATGCAATTGATATAAAGATATTTTTTTTAAAAAAATCTGAATTACATGTAAGCTTGAACAAATCTTTTGTTTTTTTGTTTTTGGTAATTATTTCGAGCGGAGGACTTTACTACAAAGTACACATGCCGGGAAAAATTTTCTAATATAAGCTTATTGTTTTTAGTGTGCTCAGCCGATCAAATAGCAAGTTACCAGAGAATTTCAATTGTACACGTATAAAAAAGCAGTTCAAAATTAGACGGTAATAGTGATGCTGGATTTGGTTTAATAAGTTCAGTTGCGCACATACCCTGATATACGGATAGCATAAGTGCACGCACAACTATGGCGTGTAAAACGTTGCTTTATTCGATAATCTTGTGATGTATATTCAAAATCTTGTGATGTATGTTCAAAATCTTGTGATGTATATTCAAAATCTTGTGATGTATGTTCAAAATCTTGTGATGTATATTCAAAATCTTGAGATGTATGTTCAAAATCATGTGATGTATATTCAAAATCTTGTGATGTATATTCAAAATCTTGAGATGTATGTGCTATATCTTGTTATGTATATTCAAAATCTTGTGATGTATGTTCTATAATCTTGTGATGTATATGCAATATCTTGTTATGTATATTCAAAATCTTGTGATGTATGTTCTATAATCTTGTGATGTATGTGCCATATCTTGTTATGTATATTCAAAATCTTGTGATGTATATTCAAAATCTTGTGATGTATGTTCTATAATCTTGTGATGTATATGCAATATCTTGTGATGTATATTCAAAATCTTGTGATGTATGTTCTATAATCTTGTGATATATATGCAATATCTTGTTATGTATATTCAAAATCTTGTGATGTATATTCAAAATCTTGTGATGTGTATTCAAAATCTTGTGATGTATATACAAAATCTTGTGATGTATGTTCTATAATCTTGTGATGTATATTCAAAATCTTGTGATTTATGTTCAAAATCTTGTGATGTATATTCAAAATCTTGTGATGTATATTCAAAATCTTGTGATGTATATGCAAAATCTTGTGATGTATGTTCTATAATCTTGTGGTGTATATGCAATAATCTTGTGATGTATATGCAATAATCTTGTAATGTATGTGCAATAATTGTATTTTGGGTAATATGACGCAATAGTGTTCTAGTTAAGTAAGGACAATTTTCGTTGGTTGGAAATAACGAAAGTAGCGGGATGATGCATTCGTAGATCAGTTGGACTTTCATTTCTTTCGTTTTGATCGCCGAAATATTGCCGACTCGGCGTTAAACAATAATTATCAATCAGTCTCTCGTTTTGATACAAAGAAAAGAGACATAAGATATGGATTATATATGCAGGTATATCAGTGAGGAAGATATAAATGTACATGTAATTAACATGATAAATAGAGTGAAGTCCTCAAATCATCGAAAATCTTATTTTCTAAAGAAAAACAATAGCTGTTCATCAAGTTTTTTTCTTCTCCTGTAAAAGAGCTGATCGGTAGTCTAGTAATAATGAAAACACAAAAAAGATTATCTTCTTGTCATATTAATCAGGGTGATTACTTCCAGCATAATTTTATATTTGGAATATACTCATGATAAATTTGAAGAGTATATATAGAAGTTTAAGGCTTATCTAATTACAATGTCAACTACACTCTATCTTTTGTATGTTTTTTTCTTCAGTTCGCAGCTACTGTATACATCACTGTCACATGATTTTCTCAGTGTATTACACATGTAGTGGGACAGCTGATTAGGTTTGACATGGGATATGGTGATTGGTCACCTACAACCATGATTGCTAAAACTGATGACCAACTTGATGCAACCCAATGTTTAAACCTATGTGACCTAAACTTATCTCACAGATTTTTTTGTAAGCCTTCCAATCATTTTTAAATATACAATGTACATGCAAGCTTCACATGGACAGGTGTAACTTGTTAGAGGAAGTCGGATAAAAGCCCTGTTTTTTCCCTGTCAATTGAAAAGCAAAATATCACTGTCTAAATCTTCCGCAGAGTTGTATCAGCTACAGCCTTGATAGATGCTATTAAAATGACACAAGACATTCCATCACATATAGATATGCTTGCAATGGCTTACATCTCTTACATAAATCATCATACTTCATAACATTTTGCTCAAAGCTAATATATCCTGGCTCAACATCGGATGTTTGTCATAGTCCTACATAGTGAGGTTCAAATTCTAAAATCAGTGCAGGAGTCCTTAATTATCTTACATGTATCTGATGAAAGATTCATCATTCACTGAATCAGGACTGTGTCTAAATATACCTGCTTTTCTTTTTTTCAGAGGTCAGTTCACTCAACTAGAGGCTGCATTGTGCTTTAAAATTGCCAGTGCACAACATCACTGCCACGTGCCAATGAAAGGATCAAAAATTGAAATACTTCATTTTTGGTTTACTTTCACAGATATTTCAACTATGTTCATCTTGTTAACTTGCAAGTCCCTCTTTTGAAAGAAGTTGCATAATTGAACTTCAATATTATCCTTTTGTCACCTGTTCAACTATTATATACATGTACTTAAGTCTATGTTCTCCCAATGTTTCTGATGGAAGTTTTGTATTTTGTAGATTTGTTATTGGTTAAGAGTGAAATTGACCATTTTATGTGTTTTAAAAAATTCTTACACTCATCAGGTTGCCTGCATGGCACAGTGCTTAGAGCATCTGCTCTAGATTTACATGGCGCAGTGGTTAGAGCATCTGCTCTAGAGTCCCGAAGTAAGGAGTTGATCCTATGTTGTGGGTTCGAATCCCACTGTGGGACATGGAGACCGGTCCTTCAGATGAGACCGTACAAACCGAGGTCCCGTGTCACAGTAGGTGCTGATATGAAAAAGATCCCTCCCTGCTCAATGGCCCTAAGTGCCGAGCATAGGACAAAATTTGCAGCTCTCCATTGGCAAGTGGTGGCACCTCCATATGAGTGAAAAATACTCGAGAGGGACATTAAACAACATACGAACACACTTATCAGTTGGACAGCAATCAATGGCAATGAGTTCTTCACTTATTCCTTTGACAACATAAGTATTTTAAATACACAGGTTACTTGTTGCAATATTTAAATGATCATGTTTTACAAATGAATGATTAAAAATTAGACATTATGCAGAAAGTGTATTTTTACATGTCACTGAACTACACGTGTATGGAATTTACTACTAAATTTTGTATGTCCATGCACTAAAAAGGAACTGAATTGAAATTTTATTTTATTATTATTATTATTATTTTTTTTTTTTTTACAAAATCTCCTTCACTTTATTTATCTCAGATTTACATTGTCATATCAATTACTGAACAGTACGTAGACCAACATTAAGTTTGTCAAAGTTTCTAGTTTTCTCTTGGTGCTGGAATAAAGGTACTGTAGTAAAAAATTATAGCAGTGCAATATTTTTAGTACATTCCTTATCCTACACAATTCTTATAATAATGACACTGTTGACAAGAAGATGCAACATGTCTTTTTACACGTGTTGACCTTGAATCTGGTGGTAGTAGGCAAGGTCAGTTTCCAGATGTAAAGAATCTTTCCCGTATTCTGAAATATGAAAATATAATTAGAATTTATGTAAACTAAGGTAAATTTTTTACAGATAAATTTCGCCAAGTAGTCGGTGATAGCCCAAAGGAGCACTGGAGTAATAAACCTTTTGATAATATTATAAACAATAACATGTACCTAAGGATAAGTCTTTCAGATAATGGACTGCATCTTCTGCTGTTAATAATGCAGCAGTGTAGGTACACTTGACTTTCACAAACTTGGAAATTGCTTTCCTAGCATACAGAGTCTGGTAAGATGCTTCACAGAGAGGAGGATGCAGAACTAAATTATGTGAAACACCTTAAGCACCCAATCAATTCATCAAGCCAAATTCCTGAAAAGTGAACCAAAATATTTCAATCATTGAAAACTAAAACCATGTCCATAGTACATGAATGCCCTACCCAGTGTTCATTGTAATGCAACATGAAAAGAAATGTGCTTTGCTTCTTTGTTAAAGATGAGGTAAATGAGAGATATTGAGGTAAATTAAGGTCACAGTGAAAGTTAAGTCAAAAAGATGTGACACAGTTGAATAGCTGTGACCAATTTGTGTTAGTGAATGAGGTGTAACGAAAATCTTGAGAATAGTTTCTTTCAAACTAATATTAAAACAAGACTATTAGTAAAGTCAAAATGTCATGGGGAAGGACAAGGTAAAAAATAATGGACAGAGTTGATAAGTTTTCACCAATAAGTTTTATTATATGTGATAAAGATAAAAATACCTTTAATGGTTTCTTTTCAATTGAGTTTAAAATAGTAAGGTCAAAAAGAAGGTAAAAAACAGCTAGTCTGCAATTAATTAGTTTTTGCATAAAACAAAACAGTTTTATCTGATTTAATTCATTGATTTTTTCATAAACATTTAAATATATAACATTAAACTAAAATTTAAATTTCATTGCATTAAGGATCCTCTATACACTAAAGGAAAAGATGTTTTGGACATTGAGAAAATTATAGTGTGTAAAGGTGTAAATGTTGAGCTTATCTATTACATGTTCAACATAGTGTACCTTGCATTTACCCCCCAGAAAAAATGTTCAAAGACAATGAAGTACTGATGAACAAAAATTACTGTTGTTTACTTAAATGGGCAAAATACCAGCAAATTAAAGTGTTCAATCTATTCATCTTAGCCTATTAAAATGTTACAAATGCTTTATTTGATCACAAATTAAGAAATAAACTGTACACATCAACTTATCTTATTCTAGATCAAAGGGCAGATTACTCTATCTGCATAAAAATACCACAAATCAGAACTCTTTAGTGTGCAGTGTATAGAGGAATCTTAAATTGTTTGTACATGGCTACACATACTTTTTCTACACATGTTCAGACACCCATTTGCAGATGTGCACAAGCATTACCTTTTTCACTTAAAATTAAGCACAGCTTCAAAGTTGGAGACAGTTATCCTTTGTGTTCTCATGACTTCCAAGTTCAAGTTCAAGTTCAATTTATTCACTCAAACCAATTAATGGTACATGAGGTTCTATGTACAATATATACAAAAACAATATACAAGATACACGTGAAATGGCGGAAATACATTCAAATTATAAAGTAACCAAAAAAAAAAAAAAAAAATAATAATAATAATAATAATTATGGAGGACAGACTTGTGCATATACCCTATCTATGTAGCTGCATAAGATTTGTTCAATACCCTTTTGGTGCCTCTGTAGTATTTGGACAGAATCATTGCATAGCATAACCAGACAAATGGAGCATCTGCTTCAGTAAATTTCAGACAAGTCAAGGATCCTCTGTCATAGGAGCAAGAAGGATGACTGGTGCTCATGTGACTCTGGCTGCTGAATCCAATCCATAGCTGAATACATTAAAAACATTTAGTTGATGATGCCAATTAATATTTTAACTCTATAACCTGTGGTTCATAATTTTAAAAAAGTATAAAAATTGGGAATGTTTGCAAATTAATGGTTCTAATGTGTTACTTTTCATTCAAAAAAAATCTTACATAGTTCCATGCAAAACTTTGATCCCCTGTTATGGACCAATCCTACCCCTAGAGGCAACAAGTTATTAAAACAG